TTTATTGGGCGGGGGGTTCTGATATTTGACAGTATTCAGAGTTCCAAATCCTTATTTCAGAACCGAGGCCTAATTAGTTAAGAGAGTACACAGGCCTCGCGGATATCCAACGTAATGCGCTCAGCCATGTTCCCCATCCACAAACTTTGCTTTTATTTGTGAAGATAAACTTCATTGACTCTAAAGACAGTGTGCGACTAGTTAATACAAGTCCACTAAATGTGTTCCGCAGTTTCTTTAAAGGTCGTTGTCAATCAAAGGTCGCTTAAAGCTGCATATATCCTAAGATATTTCTCAGCAGCTTGAGTGAAGTACAACGACAGATAAATTTTTCGTGGAAATCTGTCCACAAGATCTGGGATTAGGTTAGTGAACAGAAGACTATCTATCCATTTCCATCTCTATTCCACAGGCCAGACGTCACTACGTTTGCGAGCCAGTGACAAGCACGTCCTAGACAGACGAATACTAACTGTTGCAACTATGAGTCAAGTGGAAAAAGATCTGGAGAAAACACGTCAAGAAAACGTGCGAGAATCTTGTCGTTTAAGTTCTGCTTAAAATGCACTTATTGAGTGTTATCGGTGGAGTAGGATTAACGAAATGCCTCGAAAGAAAAGGTTGCAGGTGTTTTCATCACGCCCCCCAACTCCTCTGGTAATCACAAAGAGCTCTTTTTATAAAGGATACTACTCACAAGGTTGCTGAAAACTCTTCGACAGCCCACGACCAGTTTCGCTCATTTTGGGGCTCATCAGGTAGGCGCAGTCCCCGAGTTTCCGTCAACCTTATGATCTACTTGAACCCAAATTGGACTGTTTTCGAGAAATACACTCATTTGCAAATCAGTTTGGTTTTCACGGGAGACTCAATTGATTTCTATTACACAACCTGACGGGCTATCGGCATATAGGCTGGTGCGGTAACGGGTTTTTCTAACGTTAGATTCGTAAACTGATGCCCAGCATTTGAAATTCGACATTCATAGCTGAAAATCCGGTTAACTTTCCTGGCACATATTAGACCATTGTTGAGAGGTCTATCGTTTCGCCCCATTACGGACGAACAAAAAAGGCGCATCATTCCTTGTGCCTAACTAGAGCTTTTTGATAAAAGTGGTGTGAGCTTCAAATACACTTCGAGGAGCAGTCCACCAATGAGTTTATATACTAGCTAGATAGTCCGAATAAAAAGATTCTGAATCTTTTGTTTTCAATTCTTATTTACTATCCATTATCAACCGACTTGCTGTACAGTGCAGTCTGTCATGTGCGGACACATTGAGGAAGAAATACGCTGTGGTTCGTGGACTCTGCGCAGCCATTAGTCTCCGGTACTCTTCAAAATACTTCCTTGATTATGTTCGAATGCTCAAGATGGCCGTTCATGTCCGTAGTCTTTGAGCTCTGACAGTTTACGGTCGTACCGTAATATTAACTGTTTTCATCCGTGCAGGACTCTCCAACAATAGAGAGGTGTTTTAGGCCACCAATACCAAGCTTACTGTGCTCACATCTGCAGCCTTTGAGTACGTAGACTTTCGGACGTTTTACGGAATCACCATGAGAGACAGTGAATAAGCTAATAACCCATGGGTTCAACACAAATCCTAAGTCTGATATTCTCATTACGCTTCAGAAGGAACCCCAATTGGTCGTCTAATCCCGCAAGTAAGCAAACAGTTCAACCGTAGCTGGACAGTAACAGAGTCTATTTGATGAATGTCATTCATTTGACTATCCAACGGGTCAAACCGTCAGTTTAGACTGAGTGCTCCCCACTATGCTGCAATATCTGTCATAGTATCGACGGCATTAGGCGTCACTTTCACGGCTATTTGCTCCAAGGGTTGTTGCGACATCCCATTGTACACTCAGAGGCGATGAAATTAGTCGCCAAGGGATTCCACTTTTGGTGGGAATAGGGAGCCATTAGAAGAATCTCAGCTGAGATGATGGGCGCTCAAACCCCTTTAGGCATTTTCGAGCATGATATGTGCTTTTGACGACAGTACGCCATCAACACTTAGGATGAAATTCCCGTTTTTTTTACGTTACTTTACATACACTACGTTGATTGTCAGCTTGGAGCATTAGCACACTTTCATGAAGACCAAATGCAGCCGAAACAAATAGCACCAGCATGCGGATATCAGATCGGATAAGAATAAGCTATATATTACATCAGGCTGCATTGTTTTATTTTCAAGAATAAAACAATAAAACTGTTGTCAGACCAAGCGTTCGATGAGGGGCGAAGAATGTGTATCTTACCGAAACCTGTGGGTAACACACCGATCCCCGAAGGGATTCGGGAACTGATGAGAAATTCATCAGGTTTCATAAGCCTAAAAGCGTCCTCTACAGTGTAGGATTCAAAAAATGAAGACTGCGGTAAGGTCATATCACTTCAAGACTATCTCATCGTTTACAGTAGCACCCTTCCGATGCATAGTTGCAGTGCCACCTGAAGGAAGCGCAAGGTATGATATACTTCCAGGTCGCTCAAGCCTAGACAAGAGCGACCAAGATGCAGAGTTCGAGGTCGGAACACGGAACTTCCGTCAGTATATTCGTGCCCCTTAACACCTGAGCCATCTTGAGGTTAATCGACACTACTCAGGTGGAAGGGTTCATATGCCGTCAAACGAAGCGCTTGGGAACAGCACAGTGACTACAGTATAGCAGTAACGGATCCCAAATACGTTAACAATGTTTTGTTTAGATCAGCTTCGATAACCTGACTAACGTTAACGATGATGTGTGGTTCAGAGCTGTATTGGTACTGAAATACTAATTAGGATACATTCCAAGTGATGCTATAGAGCAAACAAGAGATATTTGACCTGATCCTAAAAGACCAGAATAGAAGAGTCAGTTTATTTAGTTTGCCACCATTATCACCATCGACGGAAATACCAGTAATAAATACTGATGATTAGTTGTTATGTAACCGTAATTCGATTATTTAGAAAATTCTGCATAAGAATCAAGGTACACGCAATCCGATCGTAGGGTTCAGGTGCACAGTTGTGAAGTTGACCAACACCACTGGTATTTAGGCTGGTAAAACAGTTGTCTAGCGAGAGGATTCTCGAGTTTCACCCCATTTCCGTTTTTTGATTCGTATTGTGCTTGGGATCCTTGTCAGGTACCCGCTTTTACTGCCAAATGACATTGTTCCGGTTAACGCTATTTAACACGAGGAATGCGATGAATTCATGGATGACAATAAAATACATCTTTCTGATGACGTCGTTTTGTTCTGCTCAATCGACCCTGTCAACAGCCGTATGCAAAGTATGGGAATTGTGACAGACTGCCAAAAAACCCGACCCGATCATGTCTGTCATTCTTACCAGGATGCATCAATTTAACGTGAAATAATCCATTGCGTGAGACTTCAGCTACGTTTCGCTCTTACTAACAAGCAGTTGAGTTCCAGGTCCACATGCTTCAATACCCAAATTCCTCCGGAAGATCAATGAGCAATGTGCTCGCCACAGTTTATTTGAATAGGACACCAACTGGCCGTAAGGATTCACGCAAATTCCATCATTTCATCATCCTTTCTTGGCTAGTGCTTGAACATATGGAGTTTCTAAAATTCAAATCTGGAAACCAATTACCGCTACTCTGGCTGAGCATCACTTGCGATTGGCAGACCCACAGGCGTAGCCAATTCGTAAAATCAAAATTCTGTGTGAAGAATTGAGACCTAGTCACAGTCGACAAAATTCTAGCTCCGTGTTGGGCGAAGAGAGTTTTTGTATCCCCACATAGATTATGACATGCGGCACGGCTGTAGAGTGGATGGTTATCCATAGGAGTTCTATTGAACTCTTCCAAACTCAATTCGTGCTTATCAACGTGCAGCTTCGAAAAACCGTATATTTTGAGGACCTTAGATGTGGCCTTCGCTAGGATACATTCACTGGTACGGTGTTGGTAGGTATTTTGACGCGAAGCATCAACCAAGCTGTTAAACAGGACTGTATCCTATTGACAGACTAACGGACGAGAGTTCGACTTGAAATATTTTGTTGACGACTGGGAAGAAAAATCATCACCATCATCGTCGACGGCACATTAGTGCCAACACCCATGCTCCACAGCCATCTAATCATAACTCATATGACGGCTCTGTTGTGAAGTAAAAGAATGGAAGGGAAGAAGGGGCCTTGTGCTAGTATTCAGAGGTACCTATTTCTCCAGAAAAATATCACGAAGCTACAGGCTGTTGTCTGACCACGGCCCGGTTAACATTTGAGCTGGTGTTATCCAGTGAAGGACATAACATCAGAAATTTCATTACTTGGTAATTTTCACTACCTCAGACACGTACTGCTTCCTGGCTGGCAGTGTCCAGACATGAGAACTGTCCTGTTACAGAAAGAAGGCTATTAAGTAACTTTCAAAGACAGTCTCAAGAGTGAAACACCGTGACGCAAAATAGGATGGCTTCAATCAGCAGCTAGAATCTACCCAGTAACATCTGGCACAGTCGGACTCGTGGGCAGCAAACTTGGTGTTACCTAATTTCCATTTATTTGCTTATGAAATTCGCCATTATCATCTTCGGGATGGCCAGCTACTCTTGTCTCATAGTAACCGGATCCCGTAAAAACAAAAAAAGATTGGAAGCATACTACCTGATCCGTAGCTAGAAGTCTCTCAAGCCTCTAACTAGAATCCAGTAAGCTCATCGAATTACTGTCAAGCTTGGAATGCTTTCAGTAGTTCCAACATGCACCATGATGATCTTTTCAACGCTGATCTGGGTGTTTGTTTGAAGTGCACAACTCCGCGAATCTCCTGATTATTTGAGCAACAGTAAGGAAAAGAGTTCTGCCATCAGTCGTCACTGGTCTGTTTGTAATCCGAAGTTTGTACGCAGGAGTAAGGTAGGATGACAGTTGAACGTAGGTGATTACCATATCATTACTGTGCAATTTACGGGGGGGGGGCAGTAGCTGGTTAAGACTCAATGACAATCACTGACTCGTCGAAAGGCTTGTATTATATGAGAACATAAAAAACAGTCACACTGGCTGTGAAAACAGGTTTGGATCACAAGGACGGATAAATCGCACTTGATTTACCAAAACAGATTAAGTATGCAAAGTAACTATAGTAGGTTTAGATGAAGATTGATCATTCGCCACCGTCCTCTTCATCTTCTTCCAAACCGACGAACAATCGTCCATTACAAGGCCCGCCAGATCTAAAATGATCATACGGATCTTTTCCGTGGAGTATTTGTAAGCACAACCAACAATACCGAGTTCGGCAATAAGGACAAGTCATTTTGTTGCACCCGGAATCTTTCTACAAAAAAAAAAAGAAATGATTACTAAAGGCGTGTTCTACAAAAAAAAAAAGAAATGATTACAAAGTAAAGGCGTGCCGAGATCGTGAGAAGTTAACTCACACACAAAACCGGACGTAGGGAGTGAAAGATTGGCTGAAAGCTTCAGGAATACTCACCCCGAAAAGTTTGTTCAGAGTGAATGTGATTCGAGATGGGGTTCTCTGTCCAATCAGAAAATCATCTGACTATTGGTGAATAATGAATTTCTGGATCGGAGTTGATTTGAGCGGAAGACCTTAATTACTGCCAGGCATTATCAATCAAATGTGGCTTGAGAGAACACAGTGGAAACACACAAAAATTGAATTAATGGCTATATTCATTAGAAAAGCCGACGGCAATCGTTGATTACAATCCGCAGTTAGCCTGAGGATGAACGACGCTAAGCTACCAATTGGGCTTTGATCCGTGTGTCCATAGATCAGAGGCGAGATGGCTCAAGTGGTTAGAGCGCAAATGTACTAACCGGAAGGTTCGTGGTTCGAACCAGACCTCTGCCTCTCCACTTCCCCTGTCTAGGCTTGGGCAACTTGACAGTATCCCAGCCCTCGTGCAACCTTCGGGTGGCATGACAGCTAAGCGCTGGAAGGATGTTGCCGCTGAACGACTTTTTCCATAGGTCAATGAACTTATTATTCCTACGAGTTGCTACAACTAAATCAAAACGGAATGTCTGAAAAAAGACCTTTTAACGGTTGGTTTTCGTCTGGTCACATGAAACTGAATTGATCGACTTAAAGTCTCAATCTGAAGACGGTGGGATATACTGGCATTCAGTTAAGTGGTTCATTCACAAAGCGCTTATCAGTGTCAACAGATTTGTCTAGTGATAAATAAGAACACCGAGAGAAATTGGACGCATAGGAAACGATCAACTGGGTACTTCAAATGATTCAGATCGGTTGCATACGAATTTGGTTTTGACGGTTGACTCAGAGGAATCCAACTGGTTCTCTCCTGCATAGTAGTCTTTTTTGAAGAGTTTTCAGAACCTTGTGATCTAGTGATAAATAAGAACACCGAGAGAAATTGGACGCATAGGAAACGATCAACTGGGTACTTCAAATGATTCAGATCGGTTGCATACGAATTTGGTTTTGACGGTTGACTCAGAGGAATCCAACTGGTTCTCTCCTGCATAGTAGTCTTTTTTGAAGAGTTTTCAGCAACCTTGTGAGCAGTGCGTCAAGTCCAGACAATTCAAAATCATCCTTGACTTCTGATCACGGAGAACAGGGAAGCCAGGAAGTTAAGGCAATGACCTTGAGATAGGGGTATTGCCTATACAAGATACTAGCCGTTGGTGTAGCTCGTCTAGAAGACTAAGTAATCGCTAACATGCCTGAGTTTACTGGTCAAAGCTTTCACATATCGCTACCAGGTCATAGACCTAGTCGCCTCTACCCTGCATGCCTGAACGAAAAGACTCGGCGGGACAGACTTGATATACGAACATTGGCACAAAAATTACATTTGGATGGAAACATTTATGTCCCAGAACTGAAATAGTGGCGGATTTGGAAGAGGAGTGGGACGTGGGGAATCAGACAAAAGTGTAATGTAATTCTGAGACAGAATAACTAAACTACATAACTGAAAGCTCTCTCTACGTTATGGGGTAGTGCGACAATCCAATAATCATGTCGTGTCCACTGGACACCCTCCAATGTTTTTACCGCAACTTTTTCGAGGGAGATTCCGGGGCTGTCTTGTAATAAAACACTCGGAATGGAGGTTCGGTAAAAACAAGGGCCATCACTAAATTTTGTCATGAGATGTATACAAAGGAGATAATCGAACGTACAACTGTGTAAATTCCTCGGGTGTTGCGTGTCGTGCACGCTTCTCTGAACATACCACCATTACCATCATCTCCCTCGCACGAACAAATTTGTCCGTTTTCAGAGAGGAAAGGAGTGTTGTCATTCCTGTGTCGCAGTGGATGGAAGGGACGCCACAAGCCCTACTGTATCAACTCTTGACTCCCCCAACTTAGCGACAGGACAAGAATGCAACAGTACACGGCTGACAACTGGTTGGGACAACAGTGAACCATAATAAGAATGGAATGTGTTACTTTAACAATCGACCAGCCGATTTAATAAGAAAATCGGAACGGACACTAAATTAAATGAGCCCCGTATTTGCGGGAAGCATAGTCAGTGGAGTTCTTACGACAGCTCATGCGTGGGAATGAAAAGAACTGAAAATGGGAAAGGTTAACCCAAAGTAGTGGGAGCGTGGCGCTGTAACCCTATAACCCGACCCAGAGGAGCTTAATGTGGTTAGCCGCTCGAGGCCTCTGGATCGAGTGACCGGCTGTTAGTCCATCGTCACTCACACAGCTCCCGACCACTTGCCCCTTTCTCAAACAGAAACAAATTATCGAAACGACTGTAACCTCACTTCCGGTCTAGTCTCTCCATCACTGATTCCATTATAAGATGGAGGTTCGTGTCCGTAACCATTCTTTCTCAGCTGTCTTCCCAATTTCCGCTTCGATAACTGCGTAGCGGACTTTCAATTCATGTTCTTATTGGCCTATTGACGACAATGACACACATCAACCTTTATCTCTACTGAATACCAGCGGAGCTAATCAACAGCCAAATCCAAGAGTAAAGCTACGCAATGTCGATGAGGCAGAGTATCACATAAGCGCCAACCATTTTTCAGACACATGTGAGCAAAGTAAAAAAATCACCTAGAGTTGCGTCTGTCAAGGGACGGTGACTCCACAAAGCACTTACGAGAGGGATGAGGGGTGATAGAGATGTGCTCACTATTTGTGATTACTTGGCCTATTAGCCAATCTCAGTCGCAATCGGCGCACAATCCGGACTATTGCTGCAAGAGCACCATGCAAAAACACAGTACACATGCTTCATAATTCTTTTAGCGTGCGCAAGCAAACCACATGGTCTGTTCATTGGTCACGGACAAGGCTGTCTGATCATAAGCAGTCAGAACTTTCACGAACGAAACTACTGAAAACCCTTCGACAACCCACAACCGGTTCTGCACTTCTTCGGGCTAACACCTGTAAACGAGGCTGGGATTCAGGCGAGTCTCTCCTGAAAACCAATTCGATATGCGAATGAGTGTATAGGCCGAAAGTCAGAATTCATAGCGATGAGGCGATTGTGATTGGTACGAGTCGTATGAAAATGGAAAGTAGTTGAAAAAAGCCGACCACGCCTGTAATGCGTTCAAAGAAAGTGATAACCAAAAACCGCCTTGAACCAAGGTCCAGGATAAGACTTCTGGTTGTTAAAAGAAACAAGCGGATGGTATCCAGAAAAGTGAAAAATTCCAACCATTTTTCATTGCGCACTTAGCTGATAAAGCATACAGTGTAGCCGAACTGCAGATTCTCGAAGGTCGAAACGAATTTCCCAAAACCGGGATCTTAAGATTCTGGTGAGTGACCGCCAACCTGACTTCATTAATTCGTGTTTATCAGCTAAACGTTACCATCACATTGGGTTTTTTCTATGAAAACAGAACACCACAGGGTTTTTGGCATCTTTTGTGGGTGGTAAGTTTGCAAAAGAATCGCAAATGAAATCATTTCTGACGAAGAATGCAGTGGTAAGTTTATGAGGGGGTTTCTCCAGGACTATCACTGCAGAGCATTCCACGTAACTACATGAGAAGTGTTGTTCTACATCACTGTTTTGGCTTTACTGTCAATGCAGTGTATATAAAGTAGCGGAAAATAAGCCGAAATTTGGGAATTCTTGGAGGAAAAAACTAGTTAGCAGACACAGAAAAGGTCAACATACCTCGACTGGCGACCAACAGCCAGGGCAGTATTTGCAGTGTTCATCTACATAGTCATAAGATGCCCAATTCTCTTTTTCTCGGGCAAGGAACTCTTCTTCTGTTAACTCATCAGGTTCCTTGGAAGGTGTTTTCTTACCTAAGAGGGAGTTGGAATAACACAGCTGAAGGACACCTGTCTGTGAGCAAGTGCTACGACCAGGGTTATTAGTATACTTTTATTTCACGCTGAAGTAGTTGATAAACCACTGACATTGACCAGCTGACATAACAAAGGCAGTGAAATTATGAACACCAAGTAGTCATGTCAAACAAATGAAATCGGGACGTCAGCTTCGTTATACTAAAACAGAAACTAAACACGACCCACAGCCTTACTCGCAGAACCAAAGAAAAGTCAGCCTTGAAAATGCACCAGAACAGGGAATCTCGACTCTCGCTAACGCTTTGAAGGAAACCAGGTTTGCCGATAGTTTTATTAGGGAACAGATGAGCATAAAAGCCAAGGCTATCACCACAGATCTATCGAACAGTAGGCTAACAAGCAGCTTGAGGGACACTTTCCCCGCCGAATTACTTCAAACCTGTTTTACAAGCAAACATGTGTTCTTTTAATCCCGCAGATATAGACTCTCTCTCGTACCAAACTGTGTTAGCATACTCGTCTCTCGGTTGTGCAACGGCAGAGTAATGGAGCATAACCCAAGTTGGTTGGCACTGGAAACTATAAAACCGATAAGGCGATCAATCATGAAGCGCCAAGTAGACACGGTGCACAGCTTAGTGACCATCCAACGTCTCCATATCCTTTACAAGGCGCCTACAGCAGTACACGCGACCGGAACATCCGGGCGTGCGATCACAGGTGAACCGGAATTGGTTAAACATAGTAAGAGAAGTATGGGAGCGATAGCAAGTGTGCGATAGCGTCACTTATTAGGAATGTCAAGAGCTGCAGCTGTTGGTTAAAGCGATATAACGAACTGAATTCACTAGTGCTATTTCTAGAAGCTGCACTGGTCGCTGCGGGCTGTTCTTTGCCCATAGATTAAAAATTCACACTTATCACGACTGGTTGACAGTTTCGACAACAGTATATCTTGAAGCTTTCTTTTATACACCATCTGATAGTTGTGATAATATGGAGGCTGAGTTGTCACGGCCCTCACCTTTGCCTACTCGCAAAGACATTTTTCCGCTGGTATGAGTTGCACACGACATCACCGTTTCGGTACAGTATTCATTCATCTAGGCATAGGCGTGAAATCATCCATTGGTACGACAGGCCTGTTGCAGGAGAGGACTGCAGTCATCTGACAATTCGCAATAAAATAATCCTTCAGCTGCAACACCCAGCTGAAGAGCGATACGTAGTTGCTGACTGACGCGGACAAAGAAGACGAACTAATCAGGGCTATTTCGAAATGGTTGAAAACAGGTAAAGCGCAGATCAGGGTGAAGATTTCATCAGAACCAGACGGATGGTTGAAACATGGTGAGGCTCCGAATACTACCGTGTCTACGAGGCAGTAAACTGGTCTATTGCTCATTCGGCAGGGTTCTAATAATCTTGACTATGCTGAGTTTGCAATATTTTTCTTTTCTGAGGGAAAAGAGGAACACCTTCGAGTGTTCTAATATGCGTTCTCCACTGAGTATCTCTCGAAAGTGATCTTTGTGAAGAGGTCGGTAACTCGTACGTTCGTTGGGAGGAACTGACTTAATCATGTCATGAGTGTGTAGAAAAGACATTTGCATTAATCATGATGAAATTCGTTGTCGAAAAATCACCAGCACAATGCCACATTACTCAAAGCAAGGCAGTGCCCAGTTGGGAAGCAAAGGTTGTTCAACTACTCGAAAACCGCTTTCAGCGCTCCCCAGATGCGGTCTTCATACAGAGAGACGACTGTCAGGATCTGCTAGATTAAAAAGTCCACAAACGAAACTGCACGAATTAATTTATTCATTCATTGTCAGCTGTAATAATCACGTACTTGTTGTACAGTGGTTGTAGGTGTCACAGTTTCGTCCACCGATGATTCGGGGAGATGGGGTAGGTAGCTGCGCATCGGAGGCGGGAGCTGATAATTTGGGGCGTAATGCAACACTGTCAGTGAACTGTTAAGTGGGGGGATTGCATTGAAGGCAATAGCTTGGATATACAAGCGCCATTGAGGGCGCGACTGGGCCATGTCTAACAACGTCTCTAGCCATTGATATGGCCCGTCTCGGAATCCCCACCCAGGAAGACCTCAATGACCAGCGCATCTGAGTTTGCTGGTAATGGCCTTTATACTTCGTTGCCAAGTCATTGTTTGACCACCTCTGGCTCTCCCTGCATCCTTCACGTGGTTGTGAAAAAAGAGTCCTTCGAGGAATTCGGTCGACTGGCATACGCAGCACGTGGCCAAGCCAGCGCAACCTATGCAGTGTGATCAGTTCATCTATCGAGGGTGAATTATTTCACCCGAATACCATTCGACGAAACCCCTTAATGACAGACGCCCAAATACTGCTTACCAGGAATATTCTATATTTTTCCCACTCAAAAGTGCCACATCTGAAAAGCACTAGTGTCTGTACACCGGAACCGTAAGCTTGTCAAGCTGGCCAGGTGATTTTCCGAACATTCACGAACCGGTCCTAACATCTTAGGAAGTTTAAACAGCCCAACTCTGTAATATTCAATGGGTGATTGTTTGTCACCTTGCCTCCACAACCAAGAGTTGCCGAAGGGCCTTATCACGAATAAAACCCTGTCAGGGCGCGCCCAGACAGAAGAAAAAGCACATGTGCACAGAGTGACGCATCCCCAAGGTCACCATGGGTTCGACACGTCCGGAAAGTAGGTGAGTCGGCGGCTCCCACCAAACACGGCCTAGCAACACACGACCAGCGTAGTGGGCCTGAGATTGTTCACGACCGGAACACCACCACTGGCTGTATGGGGCGAACAAGTGAACGACCATATTTGGACGTTTAGTCATCCTATATATTTACGCAGAGGCACTGTACGTTTTTGTCCTGGCAATACAGCCGTGTCCCCAGTTCTCTGTCTTCTCTCTATCGCGTAGTCTGGCAGGCGCACTGCAGGCGTAACCAATAGCTCGGCCACCGCACAGATACAACAAACTCCCAAATGGCAAACCATCCCCACATGACAATTTCATGGAACATGAAGTTCCCCTCACTTAAGTCGTAACTGGATATGAGGATTTTGGTCTGTCTTTATCTGAGTGAGCAAGTTGCGACAATTACAATAATCTACTGACTTCTCAGAGAAAAGAATTTCTGCCAATACTTTGAATTTAAAAACACACACTCGAACGCCACTGAGACCCAATTGCACAACAAGTTCTTTATTGCCCGAGGAATGACTGTCCATATTAGCTTTGGGATGCGGTAATTCGTTCGACCATCGGCTGATTGTCTCATTATAGCTCAGTCGACCCAACAACGATTGTTTCCCGCATGATTAAAGTAACACTTTGATTGAGCCCAAGTTGCACAGTAAGTCTTCTTCCGTACTGAATGCTATCAATCCTGTCTATGCTACGTTTGAATCGACGTGGTCACCTGCTCTGAACAATCTTTCGGGTGGTCGTGGTTTAGTGACTATCAGAACACAAGACCGATGAACCCTGAAAACCTTACATATCTTAGCAACCACTTTCGGGCCGGTTCGCCTCAATGTGTTCGGTAATTTGGAAATTTTGACTGGAATAAACATTCTGATGCGTTTCTCTGTCGTTGCCAACGAAAAATTGGCTTTCTGTGCTCAAAACTCAACAAGTTGATGCAAGAAAGTGAACAGGAGATGAGTTCACAATTAACCTAGTGTGCTGTAGAAATAAAATGGAATCTGGCATAAGACTTCGACCTCACTTCACATGAGTCTGTAACATGTTGATATGGTCACAGTGAAAGCTGTTCGGATTCTAACACAGCAAACGAATCATCAAGCGCCTAGTCACGTGACGGTAACACGTCGCGCCTGAGCAGATTCAGTTTAGTCTTTTTGAAAAAATCACAGTTCAATCCAATCTGAATAGGATTAAATGTAGTCGAAGAAACTACTCGCTGGATTTGACGTCGATCACCCATCTGATTTGCTGTATTGGCGCCTGCAACAAGGAACTGACGCGCTACAAACATCACCATCATAATTACGAGCGTGGAGACACTGGTGTTCACTCGCTGTAAAACCATTTCAGTTGACTGGGACGATGCCCAATAACACAGAGGAAAAGAGATGGAAAAGAACCTTTTTCTAGCCCACCACAAAAGTCATAAGCGTATAAATCTACAGACACTCAATCAGATAAGCCGGTCAGGAGGTGACAGAACAAGCATCATTACTATTCATAAGTAGCCATGTCATGCAGCAACTCCAGGCGATCACAGAGGTTACGGAGACTCCATCATGAAGGGAGGCAACAATAAGGTTTTCCTGACTTCAGTCCTTTCTGTCAAGATAAACATTTTCACTTTCCCATTTACATCATTTTGAAATTTGACATGAATAACAAGAATTTTCCTCGCAGAAGATTAAACGGCGAACGTAGCGCATGATACAGCCCATCATAGCTTGTAATGCTCGATTCCTTCCGCAAGCGAACTACCCAATGCCTGCTTCTCCGAGGGTCTGATTCCTGATTATTCTACCCTAACTAAGATACCAACACACGGACCACCAAAGACCTGAAGTTGCCTTAAATCCTGTGTTCCACAATAACTAGCTCCCCCCTGAATTGCAACAGACGTGATTGAAGGTTACGTCCTGTGACAAGATTTTCGGGGACAAAGCACACAACGAGGGGCGCCTCCTGCCAATCTCCCCCTCTCAGTCTCTTTCACTTCTTCGATCAATAATGTTTTCATCCGCTGTGATCAGAACACTAGGGTTTCGGAGAAGCTTCAATATCCAAGAGCCCCTATCGAACAAAACGTATCTGGCGTGAATGTCCTAACGTTAATCCACTGTCACTGTGCTGAGTTTGGGCTCATAAGAAATTCCTTATTGACCAAAGCAAAGTCCTGGACGATGAATTATTAGTCAAACTCGACCGTTAGGATAAGAAGTAAGTTGTCTCAAAATGCCGCCAAACAGTCGTCTCAGCTAGTAGTGGGAGGAATTCAGGGTAGCATGAACTGCACTACATTTCATACGGGCTTTTCTGATGAGAGAACCGTGGCTAGAGTTCCAGGCAGTTCGGGGACTGACGTGCGCTCTACCAAGCGAACGTTGCGTCCGCTGTTCGAACTCAGTCTTGTTTTCATCACCCCCCTCCATAGCTTGGGTAACCAAACAGCACCTCAGTTTTTATACTGGAAGCTATAGATCAAAACAACGCCATACCAGAAAAAGTGAAATGGCCTAAATGATTTCACGGAAAGATTCGTTCCAGTTTGGACAATAGAGGAAGTGGCGAACACGGGAGTCTGTACTAAAAACTACTTACCAGCTGGGACTACACACTGATCTGCGCCGTGATATGGCCGAAGGCATCTAGGACAAAAGGCAAAGCCACAGTTGGTGCATCGGCCCAAGTCTGTATCATCCAGGATCACGGGCATATTCTGACAAGTCGATCGGGGACAGTATGCAATGTCTGACATCATATTCAAACTCCGATTGAGCAACAGCGCTTCGTAACGTTTGAAGGTAGCAGGTGGAAGAACGAAGCGTGCCTGCGAGGAAAAGTCTCATGAACGTGACGGAAGAACTAATATCTAGCGAAATATTCTATAATAGTAGACGGTTGCAGAATTAGGCGTAGTAGCCCGAGAGCTGCAACAGACTTAGAGACATTGAGAACTTTGAGAAGTGGTCACGACAGCACTTCCAGTAGTCAGGTAAAAGGAAACCTACAGGAAGAGTGGACTGATACTTGTCAGGTACGGTCAGCTAGCCACAAATAACCAGCAAAAATTTACGAATAATGCAGACGTTAGTGAGACAGAGTTAAAAGATAAGCAATGAAGATTGAATATTTTATACATTATCTGTGCTCCTGTTTCCCCAAAAAGTGTTTACTTGTCCGGTTCAGTTTTACAGCTACAAACTGTATGAAAGCTACGCTGGCTTAGCTAGTATAAGGCAGGTCAGCTTATACTACAGACTTCAACAGTTTGATACACTGAACTTAGCATCGGAAGCTCCACAAAAGGGGTAGTCTCCAAGGCAAGCGTTTCGGTGGCACAGGAAGTTTTCTACAACTGGCTTACACAACCAACAATGAATCTTTGGGAGGAATACAAGTCCAATAACTGGCTGCCAAACAATGTGAATTATAGGAGTTGTGCATATGAATGATATACACACAACACCTTTTGAAACGGAGCATCCCATAGACCGTATCACATGCTTTACCAGTAGAGATTACATACTCAGGGGGCTTGGCAAGCCTTCATCTGTTAAGGATCGTACGGAGTGAAATGAATACAAATTATCATTCAACAGGAACTTTGCTGGTAATCAAAGCTAGAGTTAATCGAGGTTCAATTTCGTTTATCAGATGTAAACTATGTACCAAAGGTACGCTGGTTTCATATGCTACAGCTTTGGTCACCGGAAAATGGGATACCGGAGAGATGTAATCCAACAGGAGAGGCGATTTCAAGATCAAACAGTTCGCATTGCACATCAGTCTGAGAGAAGAGGGAAATGCGCGACTAGATATTGAAGGGATTAATTTGGTGCACGAGTGCGACGGACTGGGCGATTGTCATTGACCATCGATGAATTGAGTGCGGAGGTACCCACCCATGGCGGCGATAGGTGTCGACCAGACTGAGTTTACTGGATAATTTGTCCCGAGAGGGGACAAGACATTCAATGCTACACAATAAGCTGCGACAACATTAACTGTAAACAACCGAATTAATGGACAAAACCTCAACAGCATAGAGGAGATTAAGGGCGCGGGAAACCACAACTGTTCAGTAGAGTGGTTAAAAAATTGTAAGTCACCTGAGAGCTAATAAAGCATACCATCTGCAATGTGATGGGAAAAAATACAATGAAAATCCGCTCATCAAGTGCAAGCAGCTAACCTCATTTACTCCAGCGGTCGTATCACAGATAAGGCAACCCAGCTGCTGTGCCGTCAAGCCACTGTCCACGGCCAGAACAAACGCCTGTCGAACGCACTCTAAGCAAACAGCGTGTTGGCAGACATGAAAGCGGAAAAAATTCGAACCCAACTTGGTTTCCAAGCATACAGGACACTCTCGCGCCGTTCGATAGAATTCCGCATCCAGTCTGTCGTCATTATTCGATATAAGCAGTTCTGTGCACTGAGAGAGCGATAGGCTCACTTCATCGTGATAACAGTCGTAAAAGTGGAACAGGTCGAGATGTGTGGATTTTGTAGAGCTTGGAGCCTGACCATTCAAGAGAAACTGGTGGCTTTCACTCCTGAGAAATTCTGCCAGTGACCATAGTATCAACTCGCCAGGACTTGAAAGGCTCAGTTTGTTAAGTTGCTCAGTTAAGTGGGATAAAACAGATTTTGGGAGCCAAGCGGATTCTAACAAGAGTTCCGGAACGACCGGGTCCGTATCACTACCAGGATAATTTGGGGGGAGTTGAAATTTGAGGTATATCGGAGGTAAGTGTTTCAATCCATATATCCACATTTCGGCGAGCTTGTCGATGATAAAATTGTTGTTCACTTGTAGCTTTGAGGCCGGGGCGTGGAGATACAATTGACTGTGCCCAGGGAGATCCGCGAAGATACAGAATGTGCCTCTACTTGAGGTATCCGAGTATCGGAAGGAAACCTGAAGGTCAGATGCAGAGCACGCACTTCGCATTGCTTCAATTTCAATGCTTTGCAACTCTGCCGGCGAACACATGGCAGCAAATACTGGCCAATGGGAACGGAGCGACTACATGATAATCGAACTGAAGAGAAATAAGATCAAGGATTAGTTTGACAGGAAGGACGTCTGGCACATGCTAGTAACTGAAAAGCAATAGCTCAATAAGGAAGTTTCCTCTTTTGAAATTAGTCTGCAAAAAAGTCATTCGCCGGTACGATAATCAGGGCTAAATAAAAGCGGAGTAAATGAAAATATGTTAGTTAAAAACTATGATAGCTGTTTCGACTGCCAAAGTTTCGTTTGGCGAGAAACGAAAATGACGGGGAACAGTCGCTGGTGAAACGCAAACGGCTCAACTAATTCAAGAGCTTTGAATTGTTTCACTTTTCACGCAGATTTCAGCCTGCAAAAGACTCCGTACTAACCCCAGAACACCATAAATCTGCCAAGATGACTCGTATTTACTATTACTATATCATGAAATCTCCTTTCAGAGAGAGAGATGGTTGAGGCTAACAGGACTAAGTCAACTAATTAGGGTTTCCGTAGTTCGCTTAAATCATTCTGACCATCTTTATCCACCTACATGGCTAGCGAAAGGCCAGTTGCATGGAAACAGGTCGTTTTACAGACGAATGGCAAACTCGACCAAACATTGCAAACTGTGAATATGAGTAGCTCATCTGTTGTGAGGACCTTTCTTGCCCAACCTAGAAGCTTCTTCACCGACTCATCAGAACTTATCAAGTGACTAGGCCAGTAACTTTTCAACCACTTCGATTGACTGACCACCACAGTCGGATTTAGTTGCACCTAATCGTACATATTTCAATTCACTTTCAATGGTCAAAATCCATTCCTCCATTTGCACTGCAGTTTGATGTTCGAACCATTGACTAGGTAGGTCAAACAGTTTCTCTTGTTCCCCGCTCGTGGTGCTTTATGTTCTCTACATTTCTGAAACTCAGATACAGGATCCAAATATGGAAATTTATCGTCTATACGATAATAGCTGTGAACGCCGCGTGATTCTTTAACTGATGCGGCTGGTTACATTGGTATTGGTACGGCTCATGTTCATAGCTGAGTTTCCTCTTAATTGATTGATGTAAACAGTCTCTTTGTCATTCGTCCGTCCACTCGAATCGGTCGAAATACCAACCGCTTAGTTTATATTTTCTGCTTGTGCACTGATTCCTTAAAAACGCTTATCGAGAAATAGTGATCTTCTCGTCCGCAATCAGAAGATATGGTTTTAATTGCTGGAAATTCCGATGTGCAAGTAGTGAACCTCCGTTCATCCTAGTCACGTTCAATTTAGACCCAAGACGTAGTGATAATAATGAACGTCTGCGCTGTATGTAGGCACAGTAGGCGCTGTGCTGGCGGGCATCCCTCTGCGCTTGAACAACACATCGGTCACGTAGCCATTATCCCCAGGTGAGGATACTCGAGCATTCTACAATACATACGTTTATTAGGACGATACCCTCAGCCAAGGCAGTTTTACACTGTTACACAGATAAACCTAGTAAGCAAGCCTCCAATGTAACCGTCATGGAGAGTTCTGAATCGTGAATTGAGCAGACGTACCAAAACCTGATCTGATGCCTCAAAAGGCTTCAGTTGTAACAGGGAAGAAATAACAACCGCCATTGTTGACTCCTCTTTCCGAGAGCCCATACACTAATAACCACACTTTGAAATTCGTCACCGTCAACCCTTAATGCAAGACACTTTGTCTCTTCATGACCGCACACGAAGTTTGAGTGTAGAAAGGGAGGCGAGGTGGAACTAACAAGCTCGAGGTTGAGGCTAGTCCAACAAAACAGAACACAGAAGACTATCCGCTAATGAGCAGACGCAAAATATAAAAAGTATAAAGAATTGTCAGTCTCGAGTCGTTGAGTGGGATATCCCCGTAATTTCTATTAGCCACCGGCTTCTATACCTGTCTTTCACTTGACCTGTTCAGCAGGAGCCGACTAAAAGTTGTCACCTTTTCGCGATGGTCGGGTTTCAGTACTGAAATGGTTGTGCGGACTGAACTGGCTAGAACTCAATTCCTTGAGGTTAACCTATACCAAGAAGGACAACAGGCAGCATTCACACAAAGGACGGCAAGCTTCCATATTTCGAAAAACCGCAGCACGCGACAGCCTGGAGGTAAAGTCATGCTGTCTTCTGAGATAGATGTATGAAGGCAGTAAGGTGTTCATCCCAGACGGCTAGCAGGTCCACATGTATGGAAGCAGCGGTGCCGCCTTTACCGATGAACGTTGGGCTAAAAAAGGTTGGCCCTAAAAACCGCACACTCCGATCGACCAACGATTGACTCTGGCCGTCGACGCACTATTCAATTAGGTCGAATTACTTTTAGGACGAGTGAGTCTAATGTTGCGTAGAAAGCACCTGCTGTGCGTAACCGTTTTAGGAGTCAGACAGTCATGCTTTACCCTCGGCGTCCTTGAGCTAGGCAAGCCCCCTGCGGTCACGTGAGTCAGACCGTTGAGTCATTGGTCAGAGAAAATGCTCCTGAAGAAAACTCTAACCACTACCCCACGGATCAGATTTTTGAGTCAGAGGCTAGGGGAAGGATACCCAAGAAAAACCAAACCTTATATCATTGCCCTATCGGTTAGGCTTTTGGGTCAATGGACCAAGGCGGAGGAATATAACTATTACCGCAACTTTTTGATCTTCAATTTTTGTGACCTATGAGGAGTTCGTGAAAGGCTCCGTAGGGTTTCAACGACAAATAGAACCCTAAACATAACCGAACCTCCTTTACGGCCAAGGCAAACGAGAACTATCACTCATTCTTGCCGAACTTCACTCACCGACTCCCCCTCACACGCCTCTTACTTAAGTCCTGGTGTACTTGGCTGTGAAGCACCCAACGGTTGTTTGGTATTCAAGCTGCTTGTCCGGAGGACAACCGTCCCTAATGACTGAACATCACATCATTTGGACGGGTGTCACATGGAGGGCATGGGCCTAACGAAGGAATGCCCTGATTGGCCAGAATACTAGCCAATCCGGATCGAGCGTCTTCAGCTAGACGCATCTCGCCCCCTCACGGAGATTCTTGCACGACCTTGCGGAACACTGTGATTAACCCGTAGATGCAGTTGTAATCGTTTTCCTTTGGCTCCATAAAGGGCTGTCTAGAGCTATCGTGCCCTTTGGTTGTCCATACTGGGTGGAGCAGGAAGCCAAGGGACCAATGCAGAATTCCGCTCAGCAAGACACAACACTACCCGTTCAAATGAACCCCGTTCAAATTCGAGGAATCATAACCATCACAGATAGTAACATCAGTGTTGACACTGTTTCTTCAATGCCATGCAACTAAGTTTATTCGATTATACTTAAAGCCATAAACAGGTTCGTTTGGTGACTTGATGCCTACATCTCCAGGCGCTCAATCACACAATCTGGAAAGAAACTGACAGCACGAGCATCACTGATATCGATAGACCGCCATGTTTTAAGTGCCTCCAGCCAAACGCCAGTGGGGTCACGAGGACTTTACTCTGGAAGGTAGAGCACAGCAACACCACCTACACTCTCAGTAATCTCTTCCACACCTTTCTGACAAGTTATGGTTGTCCACCACACAGCTTGCGCCAATTTGAAGAGGGCCGGAAGAACAATACGATTCTCCGTGGACGATGTTTCGATATACGCAGCACATGGCTTAGGCACCGCAGTTGGTGTTGTTGGACGCTTTATGTGACTGAGGTATCTGCTGCACAACAAAAGCCCTCTTCTAATTACCTTCGTAAAAATTCACTGACGCAATCCGACACCGGCAGCAGTTCCGAGATACTAGTGGTCAAGGCGTTTCACACTATCCGCCCGCAGATGTCATTTTCACGGTCGTACAGCGACGCAGTTCTCATTATGATCTCACTATAATATCCTGAGGCTCAGCCATATGACAGTTTGACACCCAAAGTGATACAAATCAGCAGACGCGATTCTGGCCTTTGAGGTCCACGCACTGATTTCATTGGGCGCATTCAAGTCGGAGCTAATACAAATACCGAACGCAGTGGGTGGGTGCCGGTGTACTGCTGCAGCGGTAAAAGTTCTTTGGGAACGGGTCGCCATACCTGTTTTAATGCCCAAAATTGAAGTATCGAGAAACCGTATTCGTCAGACCTCTATCCAACGACCAACTTGAGAACGGTTGTCTTTGGGCTGTTCGGTTGACTGGGTCAATTAGCATCAGTGTATCTTGGCCAGGTGAACGTTACTTTATCAGCACACGCCCAGAAAGACGACGGTATTGAGACCAAGTAAGTTTTTGTCGATATTTGTTACGGTTGCTTCAATCAATAAGAAGTGAAATTACCCTGATTCTGGAAGGTGATAACGCCCATGTCGGCAGATGAAGTCATGAGGAAGCCCATCTTGGCGGCCGATCAGGGCTTGGCGCTCATCGCACAGATAACGAGTAGCGACTCCTTCGGTTGGGCATCATCATCGAGGGTGCAGCAGCATCCAACAGTGATGCCTCGCTGCCACACGACCATAGTTGTCCTGAAGACCGTATTGGGGGGAAGGAAAAGAAGTAGACGGAGGGGAGACTAGCCTACAAAAACTGCTTCATGGTGATTGCACTCCTATACACTCAGTCAAACAATATGGATAGAAAATGACACCAGAAAAGCCAGTGACATCAATTAACATCCATTTATGGTGGCGAATCCAATTATGCAAGGCGTAGATTACGCGGACACAATCTTGGATGGTGTCCACCAACAGCGCCAGGTTGTTTCGCAATCTCATTCGTAACACCCTGCCAAGTCAAACGTTGGCAACTCCTCTGATTCCTTCATTCTGGGTACGGTAAACAACTTGCGCTCCGACGTAAACAGTGCATCGTAGAACCAACAGAGTTGCGGTGCGGATAGCATCTTAAACTGGAGTCCCAATTGCACAGTCGAATGCATGGTTTCCAATTGTCGTATGGCCAGCACCAGCCTATCGTTCAAATGTAGCACACTTTCGGTGCCTAAATGCCACGCCACCCGAAGGTTGTACGGGGGCTGGGATACTGTCAAGATACTGCCCA